GGTGAAGTAATTACTGCTGACTGAATTGTAAAACCTAACTGCCAATCATTAACGTTAACCACCGAACTAGTTCTACCATCTGTAGTTCTCTACTGAATTCATTAAAAGTACATTAACAAAAGACACGGAAACAGGTAATAGTGTGTATTCGCTAACCTCAAATGAATTATAAACACCTAAGGACTTCCATCAAATCTGAAGTGTTCAAACTTCGCATAGCACCCCTGCCCCCTTTTAGCCGGGTACAAACCCTGGACAGTTTCATAATTTTTCAACGATGTTTGGTAATTATGACCCAAGTACTATTCATTCACCAACTAATTAGACTTTATTTTTACTGTCCCAGTGCCTAATACTCAAGTAAAAAAACACTTGTTCCTTATACATGCTTCACTGACACAATATAATACTAGAAAACCATTTTATGATGAATGAAAGTGAGTGAGTAATTTTTTAAGTTCTATTTCACATTAGTTTTTAACTAAAATTCGAGATGACGCTGCAGGATCAGTCTGCACCGACTATTATTTAAGGAAAGGAAGTGAAGTGGCTGAATGTGTTGACTACTTCACCGATTTCGGAGGTTGCATCAGTCCTAATCCACTGATTGTTGGATGAATCTCAGTATGGATGCAAAAGACTGCTTTTGGCATTTCCCAAATGATGTCAACCTTACTGCTAGCGCGATAGCTAATTATCCAACAAAGCACGTGCCCACTGTGAAGCAGTTCTCTTTATATTTTTTTCACGGTTGTGAGACGGCCACTGAAAGTGGATGATATGAAAACACCCAGATGCTTATCGACCATAGTTGTCTGTTGCCTATCTTATGGCTGTTGGTATAATTCTGTCTGTAAAAATGAGATGTGACGTAGAGTATTAGGTAAGGAGGTAAAGTTAGTCGATAAAATTGGCAACTTCGACCTACTGAAGCTGGGAGGACATATATTATGCACACTACGTCATCGCTTACCTTGACAAGCAATGTTGGCTGATATAAGATTAAGATGCGAAAGAGTTTAAGGTTGTCGTATGATGAATAGCATCAGACTTTGAAGTCTTTGTCTGTTGGTTCTATCCACGCAAGAAGATGTAGATTACCTGTCTAAGTTCCAAGAGATGCCAAAAATAAATAGTTGGAGCTGGCCAGTAACGTGGATTTCTTTTCTTTACCTTTATATGCACCAATCCGAATTGTGGCAACTTGAAACATTCCACTTTTTGCAGAGTTGTACTATAATAATTGTATTAATTTCCGTGGCCTACATTCAATATCAAATGGTTTTCATTAAAAAGTTCTATTTCCGGGGAATACAACGCTTTATGAAACAAAAGTGAATTCCATAAATAATTTATGATAGCGAGATGGCCATTTTACAAGACAATTTTTCTGTTACCCGTGTGATTTTAGTGCTTTTGATAAATACAAAAACCATGTAACAGTTTGTTTTCGACGACAGATTCTAAATGTCACCACCTGGTGACTATTATCGATTTCGGATAAAGCCTGTATAAAAAATGCCCGTATTTTTGTAAAAACACTAACAGAATGTTAATTCTCTTACTTTATTCAGTAATAAGTAGCAGATAATTCAAACTGTATCGGTTAAAACAGAGTCACTTATAGTTTGATAATCTAAAATCCTATGGTTCCAGTCTTTGTAGAATTGGCTGTATGACCAGTCGACTTTCAAGGAATAGCACTAGTCATAAAAAACTGATGCTTTCAGTGAATCAAAACTATCTGATAAACAAGAATTTTCGAAAATATATCCTCTGTTCAATGTGTTTATTACAGACTGACTCTATCACACACCAACATCGAACAAAAAACTTGGCACTGAAGTGAAACAAGAGTAAGAAGAACGCGATAGCTGTTCGTTTTCCTGACAAATATTTGACAATATTTCGATAAGTGTATTCACGCTGGGAGGAAGGTTTCTCATTTGTAACTATTCATATCTGCATAAGTGTGCTGTCATCCAAATAAACAATGGTCCACATTGTCATTTTAAAAGAAGTAATGAATATGAATGTGGAACCTAATGAAACATATTGAATAAGAAATCATTTAGAAAGAGCTAAAGCTGAATTCCGCATAACATATAATTGGTTTAACAACGATACCTTCATACAAGTTCCACTGCCTACTAATTTTTTGTCCAGTTACTTGACTTACCGTCGATTCATTTAGTGACGGATATCAACCTCGGGAAATGCATTTATGATTTGTAAATGGACTACTTTTGATGAAAAATAACCAACTAATTAAAGCAGTTTTACCAATAAAGCTTGTCCCATCATCTTACATAGTCCATATACAATAGAACAGCACAATAAGGGTAGGATATGACGACTTGGTGTGGTATTTATCAGTTTGATAAGATTCAAAATATAATCAAAACTATACTTATTCAGATTTCAACAAAACTTATGCTTTTAAATCTCTACTTTGTATAGATGAGCGAAAGCAAGAGAAATTAAAACTGCAATATTTTTGTCTTATAACGAAAAGATTTTGTAACTTTTCGAGGTCTTTAGCGATGTGCTAGTGTTGCACAGTGCTTCTTTGATTTCTGCAGCACAAATATTTTTGGATATTTCTGTTCTCTGCTCGAAGCTGAGGTGTTTAGAAGTATATATGCCACTATTCAACAATTTGACACCAGATTCGAACCAAAGAAAATGAGAAATGTGCAATAACCTTTAATATAAAATATTACAGGTTGATGGTACATGACATGTCACCGATCCTTTGCAATACATCAGATTTTTTGGCAGACAGCGTCAGAGAAAGGTAAATTTAAAAAATGGTACCACAAACGCACAATTACTGCTTCTCTATGTTAAAGAGCTTAGAAATCTGTGCAGACAAGAAAGTGAAGAAAGTAAATGGCAACTTTCTTGATTTATCAGGCACTAAATTAAATTAAATTTAGGAACTTTGAAAAGAGTTCTGATTAGTATCAGAAGACCATCATTTTCAAAAGTTCACACCAGAAAAGACGAAATTTTCGGTGTAAATATGCTAAGTGGTAGCCCATCCAATACTACCTTATTCATAGATGGGAACGTTTGCTAGTAACTAAAATAGGATATGATGTCGGTAACTTTTCGATTCTTTTTCCCCCTGGTCTTGGCATTCTAAGTATCGATTATTTTACATATCTTGAAGGGACTGTTTCTTTTGATATCCTTCTAATACTCATACTGTAAAATTTATAAAAGCATTAGTCCCCAACGAAGATATTTCGCTGTGACTACAGGTTTACATGATAAACAATAGAAGTTATTAAAAACAATTTAGGTTCTGCTTTCGAGATAAAACAGTATTATTATAATTATTGTGGATGACGTGTGAGAGGTTCAGAAAATAATTTTTTTCGAATTACAGGACAGTAAGAAGTCTGTGCCTTGAAAACAGATTACAGTAATTAAGAAAAAGAAGAAAAACTGCTGAGAAGGAAAAGTGGATCCCATGGAGGTGGATTTTAACTTTCCAAATATAAAATAATTTGCCACCCTCCTAAGAAAATAATATTTCTACTCTCATAAAAACTGGAACACTAAATAATGAAAAGTTTCAATAGAAATGAAGCAATTTGCTCATTTATTTATTTACACAACACAGCATGTACTAGTGTGAATTGAAGGCGTATTTCACAAAAATAAAATAGTCATAGAATATAGTCTATCATAAAAATCTGTCCATCAAAAAGTAATTATGACAGCCTGGGCCAACAGTTATTACTATCATTGCGCTAAACCTTCACTATGAACAAATAATTACACTGGAATAAATAGTAAGCAGCAGGATGCAGTATTTTATGTTTGCACTGAAATATCAAATTCAGTTACATTTTAATCCCATCGACAGATAAGAAAGGTACAACAGGTTACTTAGTATCTTAGTCAACAAAATATCAAAGTGTTCAGGAAATCTAATCAATTTTTATTACATCGTTATACATGAGATAGACTACTCCACAAATAATTGATGATGAGATATACATAAATGTCCAAAAAAACACAAAAATAGTTACTGAAATTCAAACTTTGGATTTCAGCCACCTGAGTTCGTTTTGATTATATTTTGATTATATATAACTGAATAAACTAAACATAACCACTTACTGCACTCTGTAGCCACCTTTTTAACTGTAGTTAAAGAAAAGAAAATTATTTGCCTGCCAAATGCAAAATCATTTTAAGTAAACGTCCACTGAAGTCTAAAATTCAAAAATTGTCCCGTTTAAGCGCGAGATATAGGGATTTTATTTAATTCTTAAGGTAGACAGCTTATCCTCACGCCCTTATCAAGATGAATATTAGTCACCAACTTTCACTAACGCTTTAAGAGAGTGGATGTAAAGTTATTTTTTCAGTCAAGTAAATTACATTATCCGCTGAGGCCCTATATACAACTCAGAACGTAAAGAATAAATAGAAATAGTCTTAAAATCTATTTAAAAGTAACCTATTAACAGGCTAGAATTTTCCAAATACCTTAATTCAAACTCAACAGAATCATATTGAAATTAGTGCTGAAAATGTTGACTAGGAATACAATGAAAGCTTCTCATTTAAGTCAACCTGGTCAAGGAACATGAGTCCACCAAGAACCTCGAAACTTACATCTTTACCAGCGAAGTGAGGCATGCTGATTTCTATTCCTACTATGATTATTATTATTATTCCACAGTGTACTGCTTTCTTTCTACCGTTTATTTTTCTAGGCCATATTTAACCCGTCAAATAGAGTATGCTCGTGAGTGTGTAGCACGAAATTTGCATACGTTTGTTGGATAATGATCCCCCAAAGGAATTTCTCCTACTTCTTTTATGCATGACTGCAGTTGGATTTTTATGCATGACATATCTATTGTCTATGCTATTAGACACATTTTGATTAAACTTCATATAATGCATTTGAAATATTTTTCGAAAATAAATGACAATTGTGGTTAGAAATGTGAATCTGAATGTCTGGTTCTACCTACCTCAATATCATTCACATTTGATTTAATACCAATAATTTAATTATTATTCTTTAAAACTTTTAAATCATGCGCATACATTGTGAATAAAAAGTACTTTTTTTGTTGAATTTCAAAGTCACTGTCACCGACGTCATACTCGCTAACATCAACGACATCATCGCTATATTTGGCAAATAATGCATTGAGAAAGCTTGACATTTAATTAAAACAAAAAAGGTGGATTAACAAAGATTTTTTAAAGCAAATGAATAATAGTAATAATAAATATTATACAAACACACTAGCAGTTAGCTTTACTTGATTGAAAATACTCGGGTAACATTTTATTTTGTGATGAACATAAATCTGTCTATAAAATATTTGGTTTTCAACTAGTTTTACCGGATAGTTTTCTCAGTGCACACCCGTTTCCTTCGAAAGATAAAATTAAACAAAGTGTTTAATAATTATCAGGGTAAGCTAGAACAAACGAATTCGATGAGCACATATATCATCAGGAGATTTGTCTCACCTAAGAACAATTAAATGTCTAAGGTTGTAACACTGCCGTGTGCACTGTAAGTATGACTTCAAATAGCACTACTTCTCTGGTGTATTATAGGATGAAAAATGAACCCACAATTCCCATATTTCATCATATTACTTGATACGACACACAGTGATGCATTATCCACCAAATACTGTTTTGTTCATCATCACTGTCATACCAAAGTACCAGCAAGGTTCTGTGAATTTGCTCAAGGAGTCGAAGAAAGTGATTATGAACTGTGACTGAATTGTCAAACAGAGAATGCTCTATCATTGAGCATTACCACAAAAGGAATTTGAGATTATGTCTTTTATGGTGTTTGAGTTCTAATCAGCCGTTTTTAACTTATTTATATATTTTATGGTCTCTGTGATGCATTTTACATGACCTGCCTCACAGACGAGTAATATAAGTTCAAAAACCTTCATACAAAAATAGTAAAGCAGTCATTAATATTTATTTTGTGACCTTATATTAATAAGTGTTTTGCAATGGATGATGCAGAATTTCTATTCAGATTACTCGCATTGTGATTTTCTATATGATTTAGTAGCCATTTTGGAACATGTTCTTTTTGACGACATTAGAATATTCTATTGATCCTACCTATATAGGTGTCACCGCAGCTGCAGGTGAACTTGTAGATACAGTCTGAAGTAGAGTCCACAGAATTTCGTCCTTTAATCATAGGCACAGGGATCAAAAATGTTCGGCAAGTGAGAAAAAGAGATGCGGCGTAGAATGTGCGTTTGATGGCTGACCGAAATCTTTGAGCTGTCAACTGCATAATCTGATCACCCTTAAATGGTAGGTTAATAAAGATAGCTTTCTTTGATACAGTAGCTGTCTTTTCGAGATGTGGTCTTTCTTTACTGTGACAAGTGATGAAGTTCTCCGGATAACCATTAGCTAATAAAACTGAATGTATATGTCGAAACTCATCCATCACTGTGTCATATCATCTCGCGAAATTTGTCTTCTTAATGCCTTATTCAAAATTATAAAAGAGACTAATTGTTTTAATTTATAGGTTTCGTTCCATCTGAGTTTTGTCAACAGAATTTCTATCCTACCTCGTTGGGAATATTCTTATTTATTATCAGAACGTACGTCGGCACGTCAACTGAACACATAACCTTTTCCCTACTGTTCAAGGTGTCTAGCATATCTGTCAGCTCAAATAAACTTTCCACAGAATGATTTGATAATGAGTCTCTTACAGGCGTAAGGATCTCTGTAATCCATTTGGCGATTTTATGGTATGGAGAACTCGACATGTCTAAGATAGGTCTCAGCGGGTTCCCAGTTTTGTGGATCTTTGGAAGGCTATACAGCCGGGGAGTATGTGACCCAATGGCTTTAATTTGTTTATAAAGTTTTTTTCATTTATAAAACCATGCATCAGTAAAATCTGAAGCTGACGATTGATCTGCTCTTCCACAAGCAGCACATTATCAGTAGCATTGTCTACCAAATAATCTGGACTGGTTTAATGTTAAACTGGTAGACATTTCTCACCAATTCCTAAATGCCAGAAAAATGGTTTATCAAAAGAACACCAAGCCGCACTTAAGGAATTAATCGAAAAAGATAATCTTATTATCCTTAAACCTGATAAGGGAGAAGGCGTTGTCATCATGAATAAGTCGGACTATCAAAATAAAATGAATGATATCCTGAAAGATCAGTCCGAATTTCTAGTGGATAATACTACTGATAATGTGCTGCTTGTGGAAGAGCAGATCAATCGTCAGCTTCAGATTTTACTGATGCATGGTTTTATAAATGAAAAAACCTTTGTAAACAACTTAAAGCCATTGGGTCACATACTCCCCGGCTGTATGGCCTTCCAAAGATCCACAAAACTGGAAACCCGCTGAGACCCATCTTAGACATGTCGAGTTCTCCATACCATAAAATCGCAAAATCAGTGGTCATCGGCATCACAAAAATGTATGCACATATCAATATCTTCATACTATTTACAGTTTTATTCACTTTATGCACTTAAACGAAATCTTGAATTATTTATTTACATTCTTAAAGTGTCAAGGTCAAATCCAAAACACAACCAGTCAGAAAGTGACACCGAATTTATTTACAAGAGATTGATAAATAAATGCACGTGACGGATAAATACAGTTTACTTCATGTAAAACAGTATTATAAGTTACTGGTGAAGTTACCATTCAAAATAACCTTTCACAATAATAATGATAATCACTTTATTCCAAATAATAATAATTTTACAGAGTGGAATTTTCAGCGTTTTCATAAATATTGCAGAAATTGAGCTCCTTTTATAAATATGTACATACGTAAAATTTAAAATAATAAAGCCATAAAAAACTGAATGTTGGTGGAAACATAACGAATTACAAATAGCTAAAATCATAGGTAACACATGTGATAATAATCTTTGCCTGTACTTCGCAGATCAGTTACTGATTTAAAAAGTCTATAAGTTCTTGTCTGACATCTTCACACAAAACCCATACTAAATATGGTATGGTAGAATTTTTATATTTAGTTGTACGAGCATAAATTCTTATGAAGTCTCTTCTGGTTTTACCTGAAGAGATACAAAGAAAAAGTTGCGAGTAGAGAGGATGATCGGTTTCAGACAAGATAACTTTAGCCAACTGCTTGCAAGAATTGAAGTGCCGAGTCACAGACACATAACACTAACCCTACTTACAGTCTTTAGTGTTCTAAGTAATATGATATATTCCATATTTTGGGAAGTCCAGGGAAGAATAAGGGTGAATAATAGAGAAGAATGGGCAGAATATTTGTATTAATAAGTTGTAAGAGAAGAGGTTGAGCTATGATGCCAGAAAGTCCCAACTTCTTTATGTAATAAGTCAAACGAAAAAGTTTCCTAGAAATCAGCAGGATATGAGACAGCCAACAGAGATTCGAAGAGAAACCGGTGCCGAAATAAGAGGTATTCGATTTACTCCCTATCACAGAGCCGTCAGTGTTACTGGCATCATGGGACTGAATCAGTCGACGCATATCTTTTTTGCATCTGAAACTAAAATCAACAATATGACATTTAGTTGGATCCAGTTTAAGGACATATAAGTGAGACCACTTGTTAACCTTAGATCTAATCATATAAGAACAATCCAATGCAAAAACTACTGGGACAGAAATTGTTAGATCGTCGGCATGTTCAATGAAGTTAGCTTTGGAAGAATATGGAGGGTCGTGGAAAAAGAAAGAAAAAAGGAATGAATTCCTTGTGGTTTCAACAAAAGAAAACAAACTAACTAAACTTAAACTATAAATCGGAATTTGTTCATCTCATAAATAAATAGAATTCATAGGCCATTGAGTCGGGTCCAGTGGCTGAATGGTCTACGAGGTCCCATTGTAGCTAGAAGGTCCTGCGTTCGAACCGTGGTAGGTGCCTGCTACCGATGAGTCCCAAACAGGGACGACACAGTTGTCCAAAACTCCCTGGTTCTCAGTGGTTCTGCAACTGATACCAATCCGTGGGCAAATTTAAAACAAATCAAATAGCTACAAACTAACTCTTTAGAATAAACAGGAGCATAAAAAGAAATTTACATAGAAAAAGTACTTGGACGGGACAATATACACACTTTCATAGCTTCGTTCCCATCAAATACAAAAGGAATTTAGTGAAGACCCTTAGCCACAGAGTTAGAGCTATATGCTCTGAGGAAGTAATTAAGATGATAAATGTATATGATACTTTAATTGAAAATGGTTATCTGACAAGTTTATCAAGAAACATATGACGAAGAAGCCGAAAAGGACGACACTATCTAAAGAAGCCCTCTATATACGACTACAATTCAAGGGCGACAAACCAAGTGAGTTAATTACAAAGAAATTAAGAAAAGCAGTTCAAAGGACTTTTAATGCTGGCGAACTACACATCTTATTCTCTACAAGACCGATGCTGCTACCTCGACTGAAAGATGAAGTACCTAGACTGGCCACTTCAAATTGTATTTATCAATTCAACTGCGCTTGTGGAGCGAGTTATGTTGGCCGTTGCTCTAGGAACTTGATTTTTCGTGCTCGAGAACATATCCCACTATGGCTAAGCAAAGGTGTAGTTAAAAGTATTAACAGCTCGATATTAGACCATCTGGTGCAAACCGGTCACAAAGCCAGCGTAGACGAATCCTTCTCCATAATATACCGGGTGCCCAACAAACTACCAAAATCCTCGAAGCACCGCTTACTCCAAACAGCAGAGGCTATTGCAATTCGCCTCAAACAACCAGCGCTCTGTGTCCAAAAGAAACAAGTCCAGCCCCTACTACTGCCCTGGCCCTCAGTAGAGACTATAAACTCATGAATTTGTACCATTACCTTTCCTAATTCTTCTGACATTCAGTTTATTTTATGTTGATGCTGTTCAGCTGTAATTTATCAATATTATTGATTTGATGTTATTTAAACATTAATGTCGTTCATAAGACTAATTCATTCATTCATTATAATGTATATATAATTGTAGAACCTGATGATGAATTTATCGAAAAGAGTTCTCTTTGTTCAGTGTCTATTCTTTAGAATAAATAAAAAATGTACAGTCGACGAAAATATATGTTTCACACGAACTGTTAAATCTAATTATATACGAAAACAAGAACCAATGCAATTAATACTCGCATTGA